TTCTCGTCACGTAAGACGCATATGTACGCTTGCCCTTTAATCGCGAATAGAGATCTGGCTCTCCGGGGCCTCATCGGGGCCCACTTTTCCCCGAAGCGGCACCCATCGGTCCGACCTTCGCTCGTATTTCGCCGCGTCGCGTTTCGCGTACGTTTCTCTCCGTCGAGTTACGAGCCCCGTTGCAGACTCTCCTGGTCCTTCACGACGTGCCAAGGCATGACTCGTTGATATAACCAGACGTTTGTAGCTCGACAATGCGCGAGATGCGTGGGAGCTCGCGTTTCTTTCGACTCGTACTTGCGATTTCCGCGACGATTTCGAGAAATTCGAATATTATTTTTCCGAGATATATATATATATATATTTGCGAAATTTCTAACATGTTTTGACAAAATTATATTAATATAATTAATTAATATATGGTATATATAATAATATAATAATAAAAAATTAGTAATATATTACTAATATCAACTAAACAATACTATATAAAAATGAGTAAAATAACTTCCTCTTCGCATAAGAAAAATGAAAAGAGACCGCTCAGTCATTGGTGCTTATTAAATTTTTTTGAAAAAATCAGGAGGAAAACGTGAACATTTCATGTGCATACTCTCATCTGTTCTTTTCATCTCGTTCTTTCTTCGTTCGTCTTCCTTCTTCCCTTCTCGGAAGCTATAGGAGATTCGGACGATAACAGGGTGGATTCAACGGGTATTCACGCTCGCCCCATCACCGATCCATAAATTCGACAATTTGTCCGATCCGTCCGCGGAGTTTTGATCGCGGCCGATTCGAATCTGAACGGGCCCCATCCCTCGGGACCGATTCGGGCACAACGTGGCCCTCGCATAATTATTCCGGATACGAACGCCGCCGATATCGCCGAGATTCGCCATCAAATTCGAAAAACCTAGGGGAAAATTCTACGGAGTAGTATAATATAAAGAAAATATTTTAATATAAAAAATACATTTTACAAAAAAAAATAAACATACGCGAAAATTTTTTGAAGCAACATTCTAGGACTATCTCACGTATGTAGGTATCGTGTTTCTCTCACGACAAAGTATAATTTGGCAGATAAAGGAGATTGTTAGTCCGGCCGAGAGAGAGAAAGGGAGACGCTCGTGACAATCGTTTCGAAAACGTGTTGGCGACACGAAATTCCTCCGGCGTTATAAAGCGGTTCACCAAAATGGCAGCGCGGTCGCTCGGTAACCGCGTCGGAGAGACGCGGCTCCTTTGTAATGTCCCGTGGAATTCCAACGCCGAAAAGCTACTCATAGGAGGCTGCTGGCTCATACACGCGGCTCTCTCTCTCTTTCGTCCGGCTTCTTCGTGTTTTATTGGGAGGGCCCCATCGCGACATAGTCGGCGCATTTTGACGGGCCCCCGCGGATCGCATACGAAATCAAGAGCCGGGCCTGCCAGAGAGAGAGAGAGAGAGAGAAGAGAGGTGCCTGAGTTTTATCGCTCGAGCCGCGGCGGCAACAGACCCCGGCGACCATGTAAATTATGCGTCACTTTCGGCTACCTCGTTAGACATCAATTTCGGTTGTCCCTGTCGTGCGTCTTCTCGATATAAAATGCGTATATACGGTCGGATGGAACTATTTCGCAACCGAGTTGTCTCGAGAACGCTCAAAGGCACTACAATGGCTCGCCGCTAATTAATGACAGTCTTAACCGATTAATTCGACAGACGAAATCTTAAATTCGATGCAGGTGCAACGGGGTAAAAAATATGAAATGCTTTAAATATCATAAAAATATTCTTGCAAAATTATAGACAACAGGGTGTTCAGCAGATTCAATGAAAAAAATTCCCTGACATTTTCAGATCTTCCAAGATCAGAAATTAATTTTTTCCCTGACTTTTTAGTATTATTTTAATTTGCATATATCTATATGATAAATCAATTAAATGTTAAATCATGAAATCTTTGAGATATTTTTGTCAGCAATAAAAAGAGAGTTAAAGAAACAAAAATTTAAATCAATTATACAATCTGCATTACGGATGATAATCGAAACAAACATGTCACTCTCTGTATAAACTATTTAAATAATCACTTTTTTATTTATATTACATCAAATTTTTTAGTTTTGTCTCAATCAAACACATTGAAATAAAAAACAAGACGATGAAAGTATAAATTAACGAACACGCTGTAGATGAATCGATTTTTAACAACGCAGCTAGAAAATTAGCGTGCTGGCAGTCCAGGAAAAGTTAATATTTATTTAATAAAAATTTCAATTATTGAGACAAATGTGAAAATTCCAAATAAATAATAAAAGTTCGTGAATTTTCCCCGACAATTCCAGATTTATAAAATTCCCTGACAATGCCCGGATTTCCCTGACCGCTAGACACCCTGAGACAAGTAATATAGAATCGAAAAAAAATCCCAATTTGCGACTATCGATCCGAGAAATTCGTCTCGCGATGGAATCGCGGTGGGGAGAGGAGGGCTTTGGCGATCCATAAATTATTCACGTATTATTCAGCGTAGCTTCGGCGGCCTTGGGAAAGCGGCTGTGGCCCCGCGCGCGCGATAATGCGCGCGCTAACGACTTTATCGCGTTATAGTCGGCCGCTTGCAAGCTCGCGCGGCCCCCGCAAGCAAGCGAGCGCGGGCAAACGAGGAAGGAATTATCGATCCCGCGCGGAGCACCGATGGCGCGCGCGATAAATCTTCGTAGTTCCTTCTGACACGTTTCAACGTGGTGGCCGTAAGCGTTATCTTCGCCGCATGAAATATGTCGGAAACGCTTTTCTTTCGCTGCGCGAATATCGCAAGCTCACGCTCGCGCACGTGCGCTTCGAACACGGCACATTCGCGAAATGGCTTAAAACGAAAGAGAGAGAGAGAAAAAAAAGGAACGCGAGATTATGCGGCGCGTTTGTCTTCCGACACGACTGATCGATAGTACATTAGTAATATAACTTCATTTCTCGCTCGGGTACATAATACAAACACGAGGACGCACGACATCGCGTGTCCTGCCGTCGCTCTCTCGTCGATCATGTGCTTTCTACGCGAACGTTCTATTTGATATAAATGTGGCTTTTTTATTCTCCTCATAATATTTCGGCTCGGTAACTTGAAACGTTATCGGATACATCGTGCGCCTCGTGTAAGCGCAAAAGTCTCTCGTGCAGCCTTAAATCAGCCGAGTGGAAAGGCATTTTTTTCTTCGACCTTGCCTCAATCGAGGAGTGAACTTTCGGAATACAAAATCAAGACTTCAAAAAAATTTCATGGATACTATTCGCGGAATCTATTATTTAATTAATACGCTATTGACCGGTTTGAAATATGCTGCGTGAAACATATAATATCAATTTCTTAAACCTCCCAAAAGTCGAAAAGAAGTTTTAATTTTAAAATGGTCAGTCAATTAGCGAAAGATGTACTATTTCATATAACACTGTTATGAAATTATATAGTGGCTCGATTAGAGCCTCTTGCATATATAATTTAATTATATATAGTATGATTATTACATTGTTTTCTGAGATAATTTGACAGCTGGATTAATCTAGGAAAGATGTCGCAAAATAAAAAGCGCGGAGCATCTTTTTTAGTAGCAATCTATCGGTTACGAAGGGAGATGCATCTCGTAATTTGCCGACACATCGTAAATCGACTCTTACGAGGGAAAGGAGAGGAAAATAAATCTGCAGGAGTTCGCGGGCGACGCGAAAAAAGTCACGAGTGTCCGCGGTCACGTAAAAAAGGAAAAAAAATCCGTACCTCCGTTCTCTCATCGCGCGGTAATTTAATAACGCGCACAGTCTGCCCTATCGCGTTACTTGGAGTTACTTATGCAACGATGCGAGATGACCGCGACGAACGGGGACGCAGAAAATTTAGATGCGCGCCGCGTGGAGATATTACAACGCATCCTGACGAAGGCGGAATAATGTCGCGAATACGGCTAATAACTTTCTCTCGCTCGGCATTAATAATGTCGCCGATGTTAGGCACACCTGGCGAAACGTCGCTAAAACGTTAATCGATCGCAACGAGAATGGAAAATGAGAATCTTTTATCGCACCCAATTAAAATAAAATTTGCACATCGTGAAGAAACATATCATTAAGATTCAAAAGTTGTTGAAACGAGATATGTTGGTCCCGCAAAAAAAAAAAAAGAAGATACCTATCTATATTTTATTACTGTACTATTTCTGTATTATTTATATTGTTTCATACACTTGATAAAATAATAGTATAGTAATAAAATATAGATATATCTTTTTATATAGAAATAACGTAATATCGTCTCTGCAACTTTGAAATCTTACAATGACTTTTCTTCACGATTTTATTTTAATTGAAAATAGATGCTCCTCAGTTTTTCCATTATATAAAAAAATATTGACGAAAAAATATCAAGAGACTAGTTGCACAGATACGAATATTTTCTTATACTCTGGGAAGATTTCGCTCTTGAATTTTTTTTCCCCGAAGACGCAAACTTTTCGTCGAGCCGCAACGAGGGAATTTCATGCATGGGAGCGTATATAGCGAACGTTTAATATATAAATATGTAAATAACGCGCCATGAGAGTATCTCTGGCCGGGACCACAAACTGGTGGTGGCGGCTAACTTATGGCAGGGACCAGGAAGACCGGCTATATACGGTTCGGTCATCCATAATGGTGTGTTCCTCGCTGCGAATCTATCGTCACGTTTTATAAGCTCTCGCATGCATACACACGAATTATATCCCAACGATAAACGTCTCGGAGCCACTTAGTACCTCATTCAGTTGATATTCAACGATCTTCATAGGTGTATACGAAGCTGATTTCTCATTTCGAACAAAGAACTATTTGTTTAAGTTATCAAGAGTTCTAGAGCTATTGAAAATTAAGCCAAATCTATTAATTATGTATGAATTTTCACGAAAAAAAATACGCCAGCTTCATACATCCTCATTAGCGCTACAGAGATGTATTGTAAAATAAACATTTTCTCACTCACCGATATTCACGAATGCCGGAGTGTAGTACGCAGCAAGTTTATCTGAAAGCAAAATATTCAAATTATGTATATATACATGTGTGTGTTTAGCAGTTTAGAAAAAATCAGATCAGGTTAAGTTATGTTGATCATTGACACATATTTTGCATCGAATTTAGCGCGTACGATACTATGAATGATTTAATATCAATATCTAATTATAAAACTCGAAGGAGAAAAGATATAGCTTTAGAATTAAGTATATATATTAATAATATTAAAAAATATATAAATATATATTATATATGTATATATATTTATAATATATATTTCTTATATATTATTTATTAATTTAATTCTCGAAAATGAACTGACGTCTCATCTCAATATCTATAGATATAGATATCTTTATTTTAGCTTAATATTTTTGCTTTTAGAAGGCAGAACTCTTTTAAAACTCATGTAGAACCATAAAATATTTTAATTCTGATAATAGCTAGAGCTATCTGTTTAAACTATTGTAGAACTATTGAAAACAAAGCCAGAAGTCTTAATTATTTATGAACTTCCACGAAATCAGATGCTGGCGCATTAAATGTCTCTTAAATGATATTTAAGAGCAAGTTCTCGTCCTTTCTCTCTCTCTCTCTCTCTCTCTCTCTCTCTTCTTCCTCCGCTACTTCTATAAACCTATTCTCTGGACAGATTCTATTATCTCTAATTATTTCGTTATGAATGTGAAAATATTAATTATAACCGGTACACGGTGTAATAAAAGGAGAAGATAATTTCGCGAAAAATCAGGGCAGCGAGATGATAGCCTCGTTCTATTAAAATCCAGCATTTTTCTCATCGAACGTGACTGATAAGCCAGCAAAAGGCAAAGTCTCGCGTGAGTAGGCAATTCGCGTGACGTTTGCAAGCATTACTATCCGGCCCTGACCTATTCTTTACATGAGTTTCGATCGTTTTAGCCGATAAAAGCTCGCGGTTATGGACCAGAAACGACTTTACACATTTATATTTTACTCCGAGAAAAAGATTAGTATCGTCAAACTTATTTTATTAAATAAAGAAAATTATTTCCTCAAGATATAAGAGAGAAAATATGGATGCTGCGAAAGAACCATTTATATATTTCGCGGTGCAAAACTAAAACTCAAAATTCTTTCGTTTATTTTCTAATTATTCCGAGAAAAATATTCCTTTTCTGCTCCGAGAAAAAGATTAGTATCGTCAAATTTATTTCATCAAATAAAAAAAATTATTCCTAAGAAATATAAAGAGAAAGTGAAAATATGGATGCTGCAGAAGACCATTGATATATATTTCGCGGTGCAAAAATCAAAATAAAATTTCCTTTTATTTTCAATTATTTCAAAATCGCAAAAATTAGGATATATTATTCTGACGCAAGACGCAACCTGAAAATAAGCAGCGGAAACAGACCGAGGACAGTTCGAAGTCGACTCGAGAAGAAGGAATCGACGGCGGTTGACAATAGTTTGGCCATCGGCGAGACGGCGGACCGGCGTGCTCGAGGAGCCCGGGTCCGTCACAATAAAAGATCTTCGACAGTGGATGTGACAAAAATGAATTGTTATATTGTTTTAACAAATGAAGAGGGAGAGAAGAGACGAGAGAGAGGCGGAGAGGGAAAAGAGAGGCCGTCGCGTCGGGACGAAGAAAGAGACCGTCCTTTTTTTTCCCTCCATCCCTTCGCCCGCGATCTCCTCGTCGTATTATATGTATCTGGACCCGTGCTCTTCCCAGCCACTACGCCGATCCGCTCCCTCACTCTCTCGATGTTTCTCTCTCGCTTGCTCCCGCAGAGCCTTCGGCTGGTTTTGCGGAGCGCGCGCGAAGCACGTGTTTTGCCAGTTCCTATTGTTTCCTGTATGATAAATGACCGCGTGGACCTCTCGCCGACTCTCCGACTGCATACGCCTCGTTTCAGGCCCTCGATGGCTCGATAGATCGCGAAGGAGGCGCTGCGAAATTCGAGAGGCGAACGCGGAGGCACCTACGGTATGGCGGTTTGAAAAAAAGTAGAGTAGAAAACAGGCAATGACGTGTGCGAATGAAGTGATGGGATCCCTTTACAAGCTTAGGATAAGCGAAAACTTTTCAGATAACTTATACAGTTAGACAATTCCGCCCGATTAAACCCGATTGACTCTGGTATACTAATAATATATCGTGTTAATTTTTTTGATAATTCATATATCAACGAAATATATTACGAGAAAATGGTAAAACAAAAATGCACGTTCTGTCAGATAATATCTCACATTGTGCAGTAAATTGATGGTTAAAAGATTTTATAGAAAACTTAATTGCCACTATATAAGAAAATAATTTTATTGTACTAGAGCGAGAATGATTACGTAATGTATCGATTGATTAGAGATTCTATTTAACGATATACGTCGCATTACGATTGGGAGGCATACATTAATCTGTTCAATGGACTAACAGCGTGGCTTGTCATTTTAACGCGACGTCACGCGAAAAGGCAATCTACCGATTATTCAGAAAAAAACACAGTTCGCTCGAGGTAATAATAACTAATCAATTATGTAACGTGCCGCCATCTAATTAGAATTGCACAACGCCTACAGTATAGTTGGTTACAAATAAAAATTAGATATTTTTTTATGTATTTTATGTATGGCAAGATATTATAAGAAATACAGAGAAAGTTAAATTAACTTGAATATAATGCAGTGTCAAGAATTTAAATTAAAGAGAGAAAAATTAAATTCATAGCTTGCGCGAATTAAATATTTAAGACTTGTACTATTACCTCGTAAATTATTTCCCCGACGCATATACGATAATGTGAAAGGACTTGAAGTCCATTTCTCAATAATAACACGCTTGATTTTTTTTTCTCCAACGAAATACATTTGACGTAGAATTATCGGCTAAACCGCGAACGTGGATTCAGTTAGAACTGTCGACAGGAACGAGCCCCGAGAGTCTTAACGCGCCTTCCGATTCTCGAGAGAAAATATCATCGCGCCCGCGATAAGGCTCTTTCTTCCCGCGATTGGTCAACTCTCGACTACTGCAGCGGGGAGTCGCCGTAAAGACTCGTCGCGCACACAGGCATATATATGCATCGAGCTCGTAAGATGCACGTAAACCGCGCCGGTTACGTATGTATATGTAAGAGTTGGTAGCTTCTGAAATCCGTGGCTGATGCGGGACCGATAGTGTTGGGACGCCCAGCGGGCAGTCCCAGCTACCACGAGCACCCAAGGATCTACTACGGTCGTGACGAGAATCCATGGACCATTACAAGCCGAACGTATATACGCGGGATTCATTTTTGCCGCGAGGGAGTCCGCATTGGGGGAAGAAATGTTTCGCCACAAACCCGAAAATACGCGCCTGTATCCTTACGCGTGTATCGATATATAAAAGATATTCTCGCACGACTCGAGCGACGATAAGAAACAAGTTTGCGATACCAGGGTGTCCAGCAGACTCAATGAACAAAATTCCCTTACTTTTTCAGATTGTTCAGAAATTTATTTTTTCCCCGACTTTTTAGTATTATTTCTTCCAAATATACTATAATGTGCATGTATCTATATGATAAATCAATTAATGTTAAATCGTGAAATTCTTGAGATATTTTTTTAGCTTTGCCTCTATCAAACACATTGAAATAAAATAACACGACGATAAACATATAAATTAACGAACACGCTGTAGATGAATCAATTTTGAACAACACAGAAAATTAGCGTGCTAGGAGTCAAGGAAAAATTGATATTTATTTAATAAAAAATTTCAACTTGAGACAAATGTAGAATAATGTGAAAAAATCCAGATAAATGGTTAAATTTCTTGACTTTTTCCCTGACAATTACAGATTTATATATAAAATCCCCTGGTTTTCCGCAGATTTCCCTGACCGCTAGACACCCTGGACACGCAAAGCGGATTAAAAATTCTAAAAAATGTTCCAATAACTTACATAGGAAAATCGAAAAATGAGCGACAATATCTTATTTTTCAAACCGTATCAATTGACAATTCGTTACAACAAAATTTTACTTGTATCGTAGTTAAAAAAAAAAAAAAAAAAAGAAAATGCGCGCATCGAGATACCGTGAGAACGAAGAGGATCATTCACGGCACTTTGCGGACGCGCATAAATTTAATGGGGATTATAGCAGGGGCGATATTTAGTCGGCATATAATGTCGAGGAGTTTCGACAGCCACCCTCGGTCATCCTTATCTTCGCGACCGCATCTACCGTGAGCGACGAAAGAAAAATGGTCCCCGGTTCGATAATCAAAGACGGTAGCCACCACGTTTGCGGCCGGAATCGCCGACCGGATTTCGCGAGGGAAAAGACAAGCATAATTCAAAATCGCGCATGACTTCTCACCTCGTTCGATGTCTCTCGAGAAAGGAGGAAAATATATCGTTGCGCGAGAATTCAGCCCACGTACCTGGGAATATGGATATAAGTATACCTCGTAAAGCAACGCGTGTTATCGCATCGTCATTGTGTCCCGGGCTTCCTCGTTTCATCGTCCCAGATGCATCCGCGAAAGAGAAAAAGAAAGAGGGCCCGCGCCGTTTAAGGAGATGCAAAATGCATGCCGGTGCATCCGCGTTTACAGTTGGCTAATTTTGCGACGCGAAAGCTACGTGGATTATTATCATCAGAAGTAACATTGTTAACCGGAGAGTTCGTTAAGTTTTATAATATGTGTCATATAGCGACGTGTGATTGATAATCGCGACGATTACGCATAAATATACATATACAACTATGTATACATATATATATATATATATATATATATATCATATATAATTATGTATGAGGTTGATAAATTATTAATATGATTTACAACCATGTAAAAATCATCAGTAAAAAAATTAAGCATTTATTCTCCTTGTGAATAAACACTGGAATTTATTTGCAATTTTATTTAATATAAAAATATTCAATTAACAAAATAATAAAAAAATTAAAGAAGAATAATAAGAAAAAAAATTTTAATCATGCCCCTGCCAGGAAAAATTTCTGCGGACG